CCCTCTATGAGGTGGATTGATTCAGTGACTGGGGTAATTGGGATGGGTGTGTCAGAGGCAGTGCGGTTGGAGCAGGATAGAGCAGGGTTTAGGGCTGTTGTACATAGGGTCGCTATGAGCCGCAAACGAATCGATGGCACATAACAACAACAATTTATGACAAGGCTCATCATCAGTCACTTGCCCCTAAAAAAACCCTGTGACAGCTACTTTTTATATTTTAGCTACTTTTAAGATCCTCGAAACCTCAAGGAAGTCATTCGAACAAAAGAAAAGCATGAATGAAGCCAATAGGCTGAGATTAAGGAGGGAAAAGAGCAAATGATGTACTGACTGTTGGGTCTGCTTAGCCACATTCCCCGAGTGCTGGCGGGACTTGTGGTTTCTGTGGGGATTGAGAAGAGGCCCAGGGAGAGAGCTAGCCAGCAACGGGGTCCTTCCCCAAAGCTCAGACGTGGGGTGGGGTAGCTGGTACATCCTCTAGAGCCTGTGTAAACTAGAGACAGCTGGAAAACGGAGACTCTTTCCAGATCCAGACTGCTCCACAGACACCCTGGGAGAACCTGGGTGTTCAGTCACTCAGCACAGAAGCAGGGGTATGCCCTACTCCTCACCGAGAGCAACAGAAGAGAGGATGTGGATTTACAGCCGTTTCAGCTTGAATGTTAGCATCCCTACATCCCCCTAGCACTGAAATAATAACTCAATCACTTGCGAGTTCAGTCCCGCTGGCATCAGAGAGTATCTCCTCCCATCTGAAATGCCTGGGCGGGAAGTGAGACACAAATGAGAAGCAACAGCGTAAACCCCATCTGCTTTCCCACAGCTTCCAGTGAGGACAGCAAGCCCAGAATTATTTAGGCAAACTTCTCCAAGATACAAACTCCAATTTTAGTTCTTAGGAAACAAAAGTGATAAAATGATATTTTATATTCTTCCTTTATATTTCCTATAGGGATTTGTGGAGGAAGGAATGAAAGTTAAAGAATTTATTCAATGTCTTCCAGTACTGAGACCATTTCTACCTATTCTGGGAAACGCACACGCTCACCTACTGGCATCGACACTTGGCTGTTTATATAATAAAAATGAGGTAATTGAATTCGGTTCCTCTCTCACACTGGCCACATGTAAGTGCTTTTTGTCAGATGCTGTTGACTCATAGCGACCATCTGAACAACTCTGAACCCTGTCCTATCCTGTGTTGTCCTTACCATTTCTGACACACTTGAGCCCATTGCTGCTGTTAGCACGTTAATTCCTCTCGTTGAGGGCCTTCCTCTTTCACTGACCTTAGAATCATATACGGCCACTGTATTGAACTTTCCCATTAGAGCAGAAAGTTCTACTGGGGAACACTGTACTAGAACATTGGTGGCAGTTATATTCACAATCCCAAATCCTGTTCTTCCACGACAGATTTGTTTGCATTTTTAGTACTGCATTGGACAAATCTGCTACAAAAGACCTCTTTAAATGTGTTAAAATGCGAAGATGTCACTTGGAGGATTCAGGCGTGCCTCAACCAAGATACAATCTTTTCAATTGTCTCATCTGCATGCATACAAGGCAACTGAATACTCAGGAAATGAATATAGGCTGAAGAACTGAGACCTCGGAGCCACAGTGCTGGCAATATTCAATGTACTATGGAGTTCAGAAAAAGCAAACAAACCTGTCTTGGAAAGACAGTAAAAATAAAATGCTCTTTAGAACTAAGAATCTTACAAGCTTTGTACATGTTATCAGGAAGGACCAGTGTGGAGAAAGACATGATGTTTGGTAATGTGTATTGGTGCTGTGTATCAAAGTTGGAAATGATACACAGCAGACCCTCCACATTTTCAGAAGTGATACAGGAGCCTGTCCATCTTTCTCCCAGAGAAGCTGGTGGATTCAAACTGCATACCTTTGAGTTGGCAGCACTATTGCTTAGCACTAAAGTATTGTGCTAAGAGGGGGCTCTGGTGGCCTCATGGTTAAGAAGCCGTGCTGCAATACCAAAGGCACGTGTTCAAACTCACCACCTGCTTAAACCAGCTCTCTCTGAAGACCAGCTGGAAGGTCAGCTGTGAGTCAGTTCCGACTCCACAGCAAACAAGAAGCTAACACATCAGGAGATGTACTGCATGGGGCAAATCTCTGGTAGTGACCTCTCCAAACTGCTGAGGAACAATGTTGTCAGTTTGAAGATGAAGATGTGGCTGATTCAGGCCATAGTCTTTCTAATCATTTGCTGTGCATGTGAAAGTTGGACAATGAATAAAGATGACAGGAAAACTGGTACCTTTGAGCTGTGGTGTTGGAAGAGTACAGAATATCCCAAGGACTGCCAAAAGAAGAAAGATGTCTTGAAGAAGTGCAGTCATGCTGCTCTTTGGAGACGCAGACGACAATAGCATCATCCCACAGACTCTGGGCATGTTGATAGGAGAGGCCATTCCTTAGAAAGGGACATTATGCTTGGAAAGGTGGAGGTGAGGTGAAAAAGAGGAAGACCCTTAAAAAGCTGGATTGAGTGACTGCAGCAATGGGCACGAGCACGTGAGAAGTGATGAGGGTTCAGGTCTGTTGCTCATAGGTTTGCTACAATTTGTACTGGACTCGAAGGCACCTAACAAGCCAGCAGTGCTCTCCAAGGCACAGGGTTGTTGAAAAGCATGGGACCCTCAATGACATGGACTGATGCAGGGACTGCAACAACAGGCTCAAACACAGGAGGCATTTCAAGGATGGCCAAAGACCAATCAGTGCTTCACTGTGTTGGGCAGACTTGATGGTACCTAAAACTATGCCTAAAAGCACAAGTAGGGGGCGTCTCTACATGCAGATTAACTACAGAAAGACCTAGGCTTCCATCTGTAGTAGCGGCTCAGTGACAGGGATTTTCAACAAAAGTTTATGTTCCTCAGGCATAGTATTTTGAAAATTTACTTTACTCCCTTACCCCAAGATCTGACTTGCTCTCTGCTATGTATGTGTGTGTCAGGCTGAGAAACATTAGTCTAAATACTAAAGAGAATTCATCTAAAAGGCTAGCTATGCTGCAGTAAATCAGAACATTAAAGAATGCATTATGTCCGCATGCCAGTGTACTTACTTAAATCAATATAGCATATTATCAACAATTTATTAGTAAAAATTTTTTTTCTTTACAAACCAGTATGCATTTTTGTATGTTTATACAAAACCCCATCATTTCCCCACTCTTCCACTCATCTCAAGTTCAGCATCTTATAGCAGCAGGTGTCTAGGGCTCCAAGACGGCATTTGTCAGAGTGAGTATTTCCAGGGGCCTGTCAGTCTTGATGTCAAGACCACTGGGTTCAGTTGTGCTCCCCAAGAGCAGAGTCCACACAACAATGCAATGTCCTGAACAAGTCCTACAGGTGACCAGCTGTGCTGTCCTTCTTCCATCTGCATAATACAGGTTTCTCCCGAAGCCCAAGGTTACATATCCAGATGCTTGTAGAGTCTCCGACTTTTCTCTTTTTTGTTTCTGTTACCATGTTTTTTCCAGGGCTTCCCAGCCACAGTCTCAGAGCTCAGAGCAGTGGAAGTCACCAGGCCACTCCCAGGCTTGTAGCCCATCACGGCCTGGACTCCTTTGGTCAAAGCTCTCACATTCTCCTAGAAAGAAGAAAAACACTGTGTTAGACTCCAGTAGGTGGTTTCCTTTACCCTATACACATGGTATTGTTTATGGACAAATAATTCAGATTTACAAAAGTAGCTTTCCAGTTTAGTCTTTTACTGGTCGTCTTTTTCTCCTGATTCTGAGAAAGGATCAAATGATGTTCATCCTACTGTTCTGTTTATTCAAATCTCTTCACCCACCTCACACCTCTTCTCCCCTGACTGTTAAGTTTCATAGCTTTCAATGCTATCTATATTCAACTATACCTAGATTTATAATTCCAGGTGGCTTCTGAAAATATCTATCGTCATATACAAACTCAACAAACCAAATTAAATAGTTTCCCTTAAAAACCAAAACAAAATGACAAACTCTCGATTCTACACACTGGTAACAACTGCCCAAGAGAACATACTCCCATCCGTTTTGCCAGGTATCATGCCCAAATCAGAGCCAGCTTCCCACAGCCTAGAGAATCAAGTCTACGCTGCCCAGAAAGTCAACCAGGACACACACAAACACAGGCCCTTTACTGATAAATCCCACACTCCTTTATATGCCTTTACATGCTGCTACTTCTACTTGGAAATTGGCTCTTGTCACTCCTTCCAACTGGGGTATTTCATTCCTCCTTCAAGGCCAGTTTAAATTTAACTTCCTTTTTGTAGCTTTCACTCACTTTGCCCCAACTCAAGATTAACTGTTATTTGGGTCCACAAGAGATATTAAGTGTATCTGTCTTCAACTTTCTGACACAGTGGTTGAAGTTTTCTTCTAAATATTGGCACCAACTTGAAAATAACTGAAAACCACAGACATCTAAGCTGGAACCTGGCTCTTCCATCTAAGCAGTTTTCTTCAGCCTTAGTGTCCTCCAGCTGCCCATCTCTGCTTGGCCTGGCTCACAGGCTTGCTGTGTGAAGCACAGACTGTACCCTATGACTATTCTCCAGGCATAGCTGGCTTCTTTGTTAGTTACTTAAAATGACATTTAAAGCATGTATTATGCACAACAGTATGATTTAAATTTTGCACACAATTTTAAAAGATGCTATAAACAAATTGTGGTTGTGAAGTCAACAACCAAAGCTGGCAGTATTTTGAAGTGCAGAGAACACTCATAAACTTTTACAATTCAACCACAATAGTTATTTAGTCAGAGACTCATGCCAATAAGCACATGAAAAATATCTCAGCAACATTAGCCACTTTTGTAACATGCAATCGAGCTGACTGTAACTCACAGTAACCCTATCAACAATGGTCTGAAATCAAAACCACAATGATGTGAAAAACAATGTATACAAACATTTAAGTAAATCAGTATAAAAGAAAAATTTTATTTAAAAAGAAAACAAAGCCAACAAGCCCCACAATGAGACACTTGACATCCATTAAAATGGCTGTAACAAGACTGTTGACAAAGATGTGTAGAGATGGGAGCCGTCAGACTTTACCAGTAGGACTATGAAATGATGCAGCTCTTTCGGAGAACAAAGAGGAGACAACCCAAATGACCACAAACTGATGAGTGAGCTCACACGCTGTGCTGTACCTGTAGGAAGCCATCCTGAGCAGGTCTTAGCTCTGCCATGTACAACTCTATTTTATAGTCTGGGGACCTCATTCTCTATTCACTTCTGACATGCAGCGGGCGGAGCTCAGCCTGAGGCTACCCCGCCCATCTCTGGGAATAGTTTACCTCACTAAATCAGTACCTGTAATTCAATACCTTGGGGCATGCCCCTCCCTCTCTATTGTAAACTGATAGCCTAGGGATGGGTTCCCTTGCAGCCTGGACTACACAGTTGCCTATTTATTGCAGAGTTTCTCGACTAAATTCGGGGCTTGATCAGATGCGTTTGTCTTGCCCCCATTTTCTCGTGTCTCTTGCCCCTCCCTCAATCAGAACTTCCCCCTCCTTAGGACACGTGAACTCGCGGGCAGGGCGGGTCATGTACCCACAGAATAAAATGTACAGCCACATAAAGGAGTGAAGTGAAACACAGGTGAACCTTGAACACATTCTGCTGAGTGAAAGAAGGCAGCCACAGAAGGCCTCATACTCCAGGACTCCATTTAAATGAATGCACAGAATAAGCAAATCTAGAGAGACTATGGGTTAGTGGGTGCCTGGGCCAGAAGGACTGAGAGGAACTGCTCAGTGGTTACGAAGTTTCTTTTAAGGGGGATGAAAATTTTCTAAAATTAGAGAATGATGGGTGCACAACACTATGATTATACATTCATTACCAAATGTCTACTTTTAAAGGGTGAATTATTTCTCAGTAAAGGTGATGTTGAAAATGTGCTGGATCAGAAGTCAACTCAATTCATTGCCGTCAAATCAGAGCCACCTCCAGCAGGTTTTCAGTTTATCAACCAAACGGAGAGAGGAGGTCACCCTTGTCCCTCACAGCGCCTGATCGACTGGATGGTACTGCTAGCAGCACCGGCTCTGGGCAGCTGAGCAGCTTGCCATGGATTATGTTGTAAAGAATTTTTAAGACTTACTTGATGAAAGAAAGTTTTGTCAACTATATTTTCAATCTGCTCTGCTTTTTTCTTTCTGCTTGGCCGCACCCTCAATAGATCACCGCTCATTTTGTTCTCAAGGAGTCTCTGGTGTTGATGCTGAAAAAGCACAGGATCGGTCCCAGGAGGCGGATGACAGTACAACAGCTTCCCCTGCAAAGACGTGAACGGAACAGTGCTAAGTGCCCTGTATACCACCCCAGGGAGACGGAAAAGGCCTCAGAGACGTCTCCAACCAGCACACCATGGAGCAGCTTCCCAAAAGGGCCATTTCATTCTCCAGGATTAAAACGTCTCCTCCAATGCCAAGTCTTCAGAGTGTGCCTAACCCCCCTCTCCTGTGTTCCTCCCGAGCTCTGCTAGCCCCATTCGCTGGGGCCAGAGGCCTGGGGAACAGGACGTGCAGTGATTACTCTGTCTCTTCAGCCCACTACAGTAAGGGATTCTTTCCTATCTTTCTGGCACAACTGTGAGCCCCGGTGGGGCAACAGGTCAGTATTGGGCTGCTAACTGAAATATCAGTAGTTCAAACCCACCAGGGAGAAAGACAAGACAGCTTCCTCCTGGAGAGTCCAGCCTTGGGAACGCAATGGAGGACTGCCATGGGGCCAACCAATAAGTGGTTTTAGCTGACTGTTTAGCTTCAGAGGAGCTGGTGCCCTGGCGGCACAGGGGCTAAGTGAACCCACCAGTTGTTTCACACAACAAAGACGTAGCAGTATGCGTCTAGTCTGGGCAATTTACACTTTGCTCTATTGGGTTTAGAACAGACTCAGCAGTAGGGTGTTTGGGTTAGCATGTGCCAAGCACTGAGCTTAGTGTTTTTTCAACCACATTAGGCTCACAGCCACCCTATGACCAGCTCTGAACCTTGCTCCATCCTGCACCGTCCTCACAGTCTGTCGTCCTCAAGTCCACTGTGGCAGTCACTGTGTCAATGCATCTTCCTCTCTTCCTTGAGCCTCTACCTTTTTCTGCATGCCTCTCTCCAAGGACTGGCTCCTCCTGAAATATGCTCAAAGAATGTGAGATGAAGGAAGACGGTTCACTATCCACGTGTTTCTTCCTCTAAGGCACACTCTGGCTGGAATTCCTTCAAGACAAACTTGTTTGTCCTGACGGTGGTCCATGGGATTGTTCAGTACTCTCCCACACCACCATGATTCAAAGACCCTGGTTATACATCAGTCTTCCTTAGTCACTGTCTAACTTCCAGATGCATCGAAGCAACTGAAAACACCACGGTTTGGATAGGGAGCACTTTAGTCTTTAAACTGCCATGGTTGTTCTCTGCTACTGTGGAGAGGCTCCTGACTGCAGATTTCCCCCAATTCTGTAGGTCTTCTGATTTCTTGACTGCTCTTACTTAGGTGTTGGCTATAGATCCAAATAAAATGGAATTTATTTTCCCCCCTTTTCTTCCTATTCTTGCTGTGTTCCGTCGATGTGGATCTGACTGGCACAGGAGGAGATTGTTCCTCCTCCTCTAGTGGAACATCTGGTGGATTCGAACTGCGCGCCTTAGGGATTGCACAGCTTCTTGCCACTAGGCCACCAGAGCTCACTTTAAAATGGAATTCTTAACAGCTTCAATCATTTTTTCATCTACGTGATTTTGCCTATTGGTCCACTGGTGAGAAATTTTTTTTCCTGCTGTTGAGATGCTGTCTATATGAAGTTTCTCATCTTTGATCTTCAATTAGTGATTCAAGTCTTCTGTCTTGTTTGCAGCAAGTGAAGAACTGACGCACTCAGTGAAGACCATGATAACAATGTTAATAAATTACAGAAATAGGCAAAAGGCTTTTTGTCTATAGTAGTACAACTCCCTATGGACTATGTCAGTAACGAAAAACTTTTAAGACTTAATTGATGAAAAAAGTTTTATAAACTATGTTTTCAGCCAGCTCAGCTTACTCTGAGGCAGAATAATCAGAGATAAAAGTTTATCCTTTTCATCAATAATACAGTTTTAGTTAGCTCTTCATCCTTCCTTTCCTGATATGCTGTATGTCAGTTTTCATTGTTTATATGGTACTACTTCCTAGGGTCAACAATGCCACCTCATTAATGAAACAATCTTAATAGGAAAATAATCTTTATAATCAAACAAGTTGTCGATATCTACAAACACACAATATGAAAAAAAGATCTATTTATTCAAGAGCAATGAAGAGCAGGGCCAACTTACACTGACATAATCCTTCAGGATGTACCGTGCGGATCGTGGCTGGTCAGGCTGCCCATGGGCTGTCATAAAGCCTCGCATATCTTAAAAGGAAAGGAAAACCCAAGTTAGAAGAGAGTACCATTAATAAAAACAGCAGAGGTGATGAAAACTTGGTCTTTTCTGTTACACTAGGCATCGTCACTATCTCTGTAAGAATACGTCTACTTATTGTAGAAAATATTTGATGGAACCATCACCCAGCACTATAGGCTGTAACAGACACATCCAATGTCTTCAGTTACTTCTGTCCCTTGACTTACAATTTCTTCACAGAGCCTGTCAGCAGAAGGATGCTGTACCATCAATAATATGAAAGAGCTCAAAGCATCAGTATAAGTTGATGTATTTAATGACACTTAAATTCCAACCCCCACCCAAGTTTCCCAATTATAAAACACAGCTTCTCTGTTAATATTAACTCAGAAGCAAACAGCATGTGCACTAGCTAAGACTATGGGCTTTAACAGATAGCTTGGGTTCAAAACACAGCCCTCTCACAGACCAGCCGTGTGCTGGCTCTTTTCAGGCATATCAAGAAATTCAGACAGCCTGGACACAGAAAGGTTAGGAAAAGTTTTATGTTTTTAGACAGATATCAAATCCAGCCAAAGGAGACTCAGGGTGACCTCGTGGGTGGCAGTGTTAGCACTGCGCTCCACAGGGTTTTTCATGGCTAGTATATTAGAAGTGGATGGGCAGGCCTTTCAATTGAGTAAGCAAAGAATACAAATAATCAGGTGAGCAATCTGGCAATGTTTTTAATAATAAAAAGTATGTCTAACCTATTGTATGATAAATTTATTCCTAAGGATCTATTATGCAACAATTATCCTTTAAAGATGAACTTTCTTACTGTGATTTGACAGTGTACTGAGCATACTGGTTTTCCATTCAACAGCTGATATGCACTGTGATTCTTAGAGGCCTACACCTTCCTGGTGTTAGTGATCACCTTACAGGCCAATCTACTGTTTGGTTCAAAGCTGACTCACAGATAAGAGTCTCAGGGATCTCATCAGTCTCTTAGACTACTAAGCCTGGTTACTTTTCCCTTGAACTTAATTGTCAATCTCTGTTCTGCCTGGACCTGTAGATGGTGATCTTAGAATGTATTACTTTTGTTTTCACAAAGTAACTGGTCTTTTCCATACATATTTTAACAGGCAGTATTAGATAAAAAATATTGAAGATGCAATTATTTTTAGTTCTATCTGAACTTCAAATCAAATGCAAACTTTTATTTTAAAAATGGGAATGGAAAGAAAAGCAAAGGTGGAAGCCCAGCTTTCCTGCCTGATCTATTCAGGGATCACAGTGGGAAGACATCTGAGCAAACATGGAGTCTCAGATAGGCTCTCTTGCTGGCCAGGGATCTCGCCTCTAGCACAGCAGCTCATGCTCCGATTTCAGATTACTTAAATACTATTTAAATGTCTTAAAAAGGGGTGGCTGGGAAAAGCAGGGTGGGTGGAGGGGTCCTTCCAGTTCTAACAACCTGTGACTACACAAGTCACACCAAAATTAACTCCTATGAGAAACTGGGGTAAAGCAAAGAGGTACGATAGTTATGGGTCCATTTTAACATCAAGCAAGGAGTTACAAAGGACAGAAGGCTGGAGGAGAGAGGAGACTGCATCTTTACTCTAACCAAGCTCTATCTGTCCAAACTTCTGAAAGTTTACCTTATGTTTCTGAAAAACCTATCCATTTTCTTCGTAACGTCCCTTTCTTCATTTAAGAGCAGACTCTAGAAAAAGCTCACTGGTAGCCTCAGTGTGTGCATGGTGGGTACCGTCAGAGGGGCAGATGTCCCTGGGGCTTTTCTCTAGAAGCATGATAGCTGCTGATGGGCCCTGAGCTCCCTGCGGTGCTCCTAAACACTGCCCCTAGTTCGGCCTCTAAGGCGGAGACACGTGGTGTCTTGGGGATCTGGCTTCTACCTTGAAGGTCAGGGGAGAACAGACCCAGAGTACTATTACTGCTCTGTAAAACATTAAAGTAAAATACTACTCAGACAGCATTCTATTCTCCTTCCTTTATGGCTGGATTTTGACACTATCACATTAACTACTTGAAGACCAGTCCATCAACAAGGTTCACAGAAACACCACACACATCAGCCATGGAAGATGGCACGAGAAATGCTAATTTTGTATCTTTGCAAAGTGTTATTTTAAATTAAGTGACAGTTACACATTGGTCATGTTTTAAAATAAACCATAACTCACTTCCATAGGCTGTCAAAAGCTCTTCTGATGTTGGAGTTCGATGAGGATCTTCATCCTCTCTGGGCTTTATGATTGCAATCCCGTATGTCGCTTCT